CTATCCAGCAGTGTTGTAGCAACAGCCTGAGGTGTCTTCTGCAAGTCCTGAAGATACAAGTTGTGCTCTGCATGGATGCACAAGCATAAATAACAGGGAGTTTCCTTTTTCACGTGTTTCTTGGTTTTCTTAGTCTGTGATATTGTTGCTCTGCACATGCTTTTTTGTTCAGCTGTTTCTTTTACTTTCTAGGAAAGGACCTGCATAGATTGGAGCTCTCTTCGTGTTTCTCTTATGGGGACTGAGACAAAGGGCCAGTTAAGGAAGTCAAGGTTTTTCTGTGATTAGCAGAAGAAAAGTTTTGTATCTTCTACCTTTTGTGTTCTTAGGATGCTTGCAGTAAAGCAGCCAAGTGATTGTCTATAAAAATACTATTACATCATAGCTGTTGATATAATAAATAAGGAATTAGTGAAAATCTTGAGAGATACTGCAGGACCAACTGCCCTTTTGTGGCCATGTGATTCACCAAGGGGTAAGGCTTTTGCAGCTAGAATTAATTTTCTTCTACCCAACACAATAGTTCTTTAAGTCCTTTAAAAACATCTTTCAGCCAAACTAGGTAGAGGTAGAAATAGAAATAAGAATGAATTCAACTTGTTAAACAAAAACTAGAACAAACAACAACCCCCCTGGTTCATCCAGCCCCTGTTGAAAACAAATGTGATTTAATCTATCAAGAAGACATTACACACAGAGCACGAGGTATAAAGTCACATCAAATGTAGTCTTCATCCTCTAACTCACATGCCTTATTTTCCTCAATTTGCTGCTTGTTCAAAATTTCCAGATCTCGTGATCTGCTCTTTCCCATTCAGTGTTAGAAGCTGAGAAGAGCAATAAGAAATAAGTAACTGGGATTCCAGGCTGAAATGATGGTGCTGTTTAGGAATGCATTATTTCTTCATAATGCCACAGTTTTTTGTTAATGTAATGATTTCATCATCTGGGTTGCTCTGTCTTCATCATTTAAAAGAAGCTGAAGATTGTATGGATATACTTGAGGGTTGTCTCTCCGTTTGTTAACAATTTCAGGAAAAATATATTGTTACCTTTAGAGCAACTAAAGCCAAGTGTTATCATTTAGAAGTGTAGATAACTAATTTGACTTTTTTATGACTGTAGCTTTTCTCTGTATTTCCAGCAGTTTTAAGTACATTGGAAGTAGCTAAGTGTGTGTAACAGTGTTTTGCATTTAAAATATATAAGACCATCATGTTAGGTAAGGAAGCAGAGAAAATTGTGTACTTCATGAATTATGGATAGGTTCTGTTTGAGAATATTTTCATGGAAAGGAACCTGATCCTGCAAATACCTCCTGTAGCACAGAAGCAATAGTCAAGTGAGTATTTGCCCCTGTCTGCATTATGAGGCCTGTCATTAAGGGAGGAAAGAATTATCATTCTGAAAATATATATAACGGAACAAAGGGATCAATTCTTATTTGTTTCTAAGGCAGGGACACAGTTCCCTTACTTGTGAAACCAAGACACGCTGACCAGTGATGATGGGCTTTGTGTCTAGTCACTGATGTGTGGACAATGAAGAGCCGGGAGGGGAACAGAAATGCACAGATTTCTTAAAGAAAAAAAAAACAACACTTTCCTGGGTTATTGGCCAAGTTCTAGGCACTCCAGACACTGCAGATTTTGCAGCCTAGATCCTGTAAAGTATTGGGCACTAAACTTGTGGAAATCAGAATTATTTAGGAGCATTTTACTCTTAATTTGTCAGAAATCTTTAAAGATGTGGTAATGATTAATAATAGGGTGCTTAGGCCCAAGTAGTGCTGCCTTAGGATCCCATACCATAAGGGCCTAACTCTGTTTCCTGATCTGATCCTGTTTTTAAACTTTGCTAGTTAGTGGTTACAATGCTTTGATTAAAAATTGGGCTGCCCTCCAAAAAAAGCCATCTGGCTCCAAATTTACTGTTTGAGCATAGCAGGATTAGTAAATACTAAAAAATGCAAACTTCCTGGTGATGTTCCCTTTTACAAAGAAGCTTGAGGGAGAGTTTGTGTTCAGAAAAAGATTGTGGTGAGAATTTTCATGAGTCTCCTCAAAAGGAAAGATTTGCCAGTTGCATTTTTTGGACTCTTCTGGGAAGTGTTTAATACTGGTGTGTATGTTCCACCTGGTA